CTGGAGGGCTGAGGTCGGGCAGGTGGGCTGGCCCACGTGGGGCCGCCCCCAGGGCCGCAGGGACGAGGACAGCCCCGGGCCGGAGGACTCAGCAGGGCTGTGATCCCCACAATGCACCCCACCCACCCGCTGCTGCCCCTTCCTTCTGGCTCAAGGGTCCCTCGTCCCCAGGAAGAGCCCCGTTGCCTCCACATCCTCTTTCTCCTTCTCTCCCCCGACTCCGTGGCAGGGAAGGGGCCGAGAGGAGAGGCCAGCAGCTCCCAGGGGAGTCATCGGAATGCTGGGAGCCTGGGAACAGACCCTGTAGTCCCTGGGAAAGCCAGGCTGCGGGAATCCCACCGTCAGCCCCCTCCTCAGGATGGGCCACCGGATGCCAGAGACCCCAGTTCCCCAACAGGGGGCTTTGTGAGGGTGGAGCCCCCCAGTCCACGCCCCAGCCTGGCTCGACCCCAGAGTTCAGTAGGCCAGCTGTGACGAAGACAGCCCCTCCCCCAGCCTCCACCCCCCCCTCCAACATAATCCTCGCCATTGTGCCCCTCACCCCCTCCCCCGCTCCGCCTCTCTGGACCCCAGTACAATGGAGCCTTTGCCGCCTCCAGAGTGGAGATGAACTCACGGTTTTTCCAAGTTTAAAAATAGCCCCTCCCATCCCCCAGAGAGCGGCCCTCCCCTGTCCCGCGGTGTCGCTGGGGGGCACCTCTATCCAGCCTGCACCTCCTTCCTCCTGCCCCGGTCAGGTGCGAAGGACACGGGGGAGACTGTGTCCGGCTGGGAGCAGGGCTGCTTCCCCCCATTCAATCTCTTCCCCCACATCTTCCACCAGCCCCCCAGTATCCGGTTTCCTGGCTTGATGACATCCTCGGCAACAACTGCCCCCACCCCCCTCCCACCCTGTTTTCACTCACTCGGTACAATCTCCTTCCAACTTAGAGCCCCACTCTGGAGAAATTCTCCTGACTTCCCTCCAAAGACCCAGGCTGGATCCTATTCTCTGGCCAGGCCAGGGGGTTCCCCAGCCTGCATGGCTGCCAGGATTGTTGCTCCCCGCCGCATCCCCTCATCACAGCTGCAAGCATGTCTTTATGCTTTATCCTGGTTAAGGCCCCTGGGCCAGAAGGGCAGGTCAGAAGCCACTATGTCCACTATGTTGAAGCTGAGGGAAGTCTAGGTTCAAATCTCACCCCACGGAGGCCCCTGGAGACAGGCCCACCCTTTTCTTCTTACCTCCACCCCCACAGTTCTCTACTTCTTAAAATGAGTCGAAAGCCCCACTACCCAGGAGACTCTCACTGAGGGACCAGACCAGGATGACCACCCCGCCTAGCCTCAGTTTCTCCACCTGTAGTCAGACCTATGGCAGAGAGACACAGGGCATTCCGCACAGGAGGGTTCCCTAGTCTCTGAGAAGCCTGGGTCTACTCTGGGTGGAGGAAGGCAGCATTCCTGCCCCCCCCCTCCTAGAGAGAAATGAGGTGAAGAATTAGGACTCTGCCCCAGGGCCTCTTCTGACCTCTTGTCTGAGCCAGCTTGCTTCCATCCCTCTCCAGGTGCTGGCTCTCCACGGGATGGAAGGCTCATGGCTGCCTCCTCCGTCTCCCCTTGGGCTGAGTCTCAGTCCTCTCTTGGAGTCCTTCGGCCGCCACCTTGTCTCGCTCCTGCTGCTGCTGGAGCACCATCCTCTGGCGTCTCCACCCCCATCCTTCTGGTCTCCCTTCCCCTCTGAATTCTCTCCAAGGTCCTGACCCCTCTTTGGTTTGGAATCCCAGAATGCTCCCCTCATGAAGCCATCTCAAAGCGGCCTGTCACCCACTCCACAGACAGCACAGACAGCCCCGGGCTCCCGGGTTCCTTAAAGAACAGGCTATGTGCTTGTTTGGTGGGACCATACGGGGAGGGGATGTCACCCGGAGTTCTAACCTCATTTCCCTTCCACTGCAGAGAGGACGCCTCCACCCCCACCTGACTTCAGTCTCCTCCGGGCTGGCGGAAGAAGAATTCAGAACTGCCTGTCCTTGGTGGTTAGCTGGCTTTGTTTTCAGGCCAGGGAGAAGAGAATGATTAGTTAATGGTGTTAAGTGAAGGGAAGGGGGTGGGGCAGGGAAGCCCGCTCCATGCCCAGGGCCGGGCCTGCCAGGGCAGACAGTATCCTTCAGCCATTCCCACTCCGGTTCAGCCGACAAACACGCTCATCGTTCCACTCTGGGCCTTGGGCCAGGCCATACATTCACTCTGGGGGTGGGAGCCAGGATCCTCCTCTTGTTCTCTCCTCACCTGCTCCAGTCCCTGGGTCTGGCCGGCTTTGGCTTTGCACGGCCTCTGGCTGGAGACTAACAGACATGGAGGAGGGGACAGCAAGGCTCTGAAAGACAAGGCTGATGTGGTTTGCCAGTCATCTCTGCGTCATCAGAACGCCACCCAGAGCATGCTCTTGAGTCACCTGGCCATCTCTGGTGTTGCTGCCTCACGCTTCTCCTCCCCCAGCCAGCCCAAGGGCTGCCCTGGGCGACAGACCTCCTACCCAAATCCCAGGCCCTATTTCACTCTCCTAGGTGAAGGGGACCCAGCATATGTGGACTCCTTTTGCGAGGCCAGAGTGCTGAGGTCTCTGTGAGGCAAGAGCCCACCCGCCTCCCTGGTCTTCAAGAGGCCAGAAGACCTGAGAGAAGCTGGAGTCAGGGAGAAGGGCTCCCCACGAGGCAGAGCTGTCTGCAACCAGATCTGAGTCCACCCCCCACCACCCCACTCCTCCCACCACCTATGCTGGTCGACCATCAAGTGTTGGAGAGACACAGCGGGTGGGGAGAACAGTGCCGCAGGAATCTTGTTAGCCATCAGGAACAGCAAGGGTTTCCAGGGTCAAGCTGGGAAACCTGAGTCCATTCACTCTCCCCTGCCCCTCATCCTTCATTCAGGTGAGAAGAAACAGTCCAGGCTAGGTTCCACGAGTGAAGACACAAGAAACATGTAATTCAAGGCCTGGACTTGGACAAGTGTGAACACCTTGAGCCTGAGAATTCAGCCCCTTCCCTCCTTTCTCTATGGGCTTGCAGGATTTGGGATGTGAAGGGACAGCCCAGGAGGCCCATCTCCATTCCCCAATACAGACACCTCTGGGTCTGTGGGACCTGGCGCAGAGTTCTTCCCCCAAAGCTGCCAGGACTGCCAGGCTGAGGGGCAGTGCCAGGCCGGCAGCAGCCGCAGTGGTGCAATCCTTCTGGGAAGCGGTTGAGGTCAGCCCGAATTTTCTGTGGCAGGGGAGAGGAGTCTGAGTGTGGGAGGTCTCGTGGGGGACACCGAGGACCAGGTCCGCGGCTGCTCCTCCTCCAGGAGGCCCCCCCAGGGTTACACTGGCTGGCAGGAGCTGAGCAGGGGTGAGCGCGGCTGGCTGCGACCAGGGGCGACTCTGAGCATCCAAGCTGGCTTCTCCTCGCTGCCGCCTAGGCCAGTCCTTCTGGCCCCGAGACACCTGTCACTGTCCCCTCAGCCTTCCCGAGCCGGGGGAGGGGGGAGCTGGGAGGCCAGCTCGGGCCTACCTCCGGCCGCGCTCCTGGGCGCAGCTCCCGACTCGCGGCGCCGGGACCCGCCCCCTAGG